GGTCAACATCTTTTGTGTCATTGAAAGGTGTGGAGTAGGCATCCAGATTGATCAACTGACCACGAGACCTCCAAAGTTAATCGAGGTCAGCCCCATAAATGACCTTATTTATTCATGTTCCACTCTAGTGACATTCACACTACAATTGCCATGAATCCATTATCTATCATTTGCATGTTTTCTTGTAGTGAGGGTGAGAGTTGCTTGTTCCATAGTATAAACAAAAAACTATTGATTGGATAATATTCTAACTTCATGGGAGTAGACTAGAGTATCTTCCCTTGGGAATACGATCGAGCCATTATACTGCAAGCCTAGTAGTGGTATACTTGTCATTGCTAGGGCCAGGTGTTACTATGCATATGATTAGATATTCATCGAGCATATCACACACTACCACTAGACGAAGAAAATCGGTAGCCGGTGAGCTCTAGGAGGCCTCCATAGGCCCAAACCCAATGGGATCTTCTGGAATATTCGTTTTTCATCCTCGAGTTAGAGAATTCAAGTCTCAGTTGTACAATGAAGATTTTGGCCCATTTATAGAGAAAGCCTAAAAAACCCCTTGTCCTATGTACTATAAATAGAGGGTCGGGCTATAGGAAAGAGCTATGGAATTTACACAAATTTACTATGCAAAAACTTGAGCAAGGAGCTACTCTCACCCTAACTACAGGCAAACATGCAAATGATAGATAATGGATTCATGGCATTTGTAGTGTGAAGGATACTAGAGAGAGATTTGGTGCAATGGTCATTTCTCCCGAATCTTTTTCATAGCCATGTCCACCGGCCCAATGTCACCACAACCAAATTTCTTAACTATGGGTGAAAATTTACCTTCTCTATACGAATTTAAATCGTTCGTAAATAAGTTTTCCAAGTCAATGGTCATGTACTCGTATCACAAGCATTATCTAGGTGAGCTCCTAGTTGGTAGAAGATGATCATCTCGTCCACCAACTAGGACTACCAATCAACTATCTTTTGTAAGAGGCATTCACTCATATACAAGCTAGAAATAACCGAAGGAAACCTAGGGCTAAACCATGCTAGACATTGATTCATAAACCTAAACCAAGATATACTAATCGTGTTCATCATACAGTGATCTTTAAATGACAACGTGCAGGACTACTTGGGCGGTGAGATCGTGGGCTAGACTTCACAATTATCTGTGGATTTGAATATATACAATGAACGAACCTAATAAGATATCAATTACAACCCAAGCCGTAATAATTACTTAGCCATGGACTTGGAAACCCACTACTTCTCAATACAAATGTTAGCCTACGTTGCGTTGCCTCTCTAGTGCAAACCGAATGTTGGGTTGCTTCCAAACAAGCGCGACTTTTTGCTTGTTTTTTTGGAATCATTACACTTGATGGAGCTAATTGAAAATGACACCTTAATCCATCCTTAGTGCTTCGTAATCGACACTCTTGTGATGGAGTCCCAAGTGAAGACTGTGAAGCCTCTCAATTGGAATTATTACTTCATATGACTCAAAGCCCCTCTCAGGAGGATGACCCTTGAGATGGCTCCAATTGATCCAATTCTGAAGTCTATGTTCGTGAGTAACTTGAAGCACTCCCCAGACTCTTTTTTTTTTTTTGTTGATCAGAGCAACATTGCTCGATTTTAACTTCTTTGTCTGGTCCTTGATCTTCAACTTGGGGTACCTTTCTTCAGGCTCAAATTTCTTCAGCTTCTTTTCCTTTTCCTTGAAAATACTTTACATCTTGAGAAACTCTTCAAATTTCTTCTTATTGATGGCTCTTGTATAACCAATCTTCATCTTGTACTCTTCTGAATAATTTTTCACATCAGAGGGTTCAAACATGGAGACCATGTTAAGCCATTTAATTTCAAAAACTTGACATGCTAAAACACAACACCTAACAATGGCCAAGTGTAACCAATGAAAGGGACTGCAGTATAGTGGCACAAGTAATAAATATCGAATCCACGGGTCTCTAGAGTTACTATTACTCAGCTTCAGTTCATTATCTAGCAAACTAGATTAAGGATTGATTTAACTAAACTACTCTACTAACTAAACTAAGTAAAACTACTAATTACAGTTTGGGAACTCACTTAGGTATGATTCCCCCTAGCTCCTCAATTAGGTCCAAGTTGCAATTACCGTTGGTTGATCTACTGTTGATTAAACTGCGGAAGATCCTAAATTAGCTTGGAATCTCTTAAGCTGACCAAGCCCTCTCAGTCCAACTACCCGGCAGACGACTAGTCTTCACCAGGATAGAAAGCTGAGGCTATGAACACAGAACTCCACTACTGGAATGAATTCCAGTACAAAGCAGTGAATTGATTGACTCTCGCACAACCAATTCACCACTATCAATCAAGGAAGCTCTCTTAACCTAATCAGATTCTATCTACCATAGGTTAAAGCAGAAATCAAGAGAATTTGATCAAGATTCAATTGACTCAATAAATCATGCCTCGTTCGATTATAATCAAACAATATAGCATCCAAAACTTCATACAAGAAAGATCTTAACACATGGAACTAGGGTTCCTCAAAACCTAAGTGAAGGGAAATTACTCCATAGAGAAGAGAGAGACTGCAGAAATCTGATCTAGATCTTCAATCTCCATCTCCAAGCTTGATTCCCGAGCTCCAATGGCGAAGAAATCCTCCAAAATAGCTCCAAGAATGTTCCCAAGTCGCTCTCTCTCTCTAGGGTTCGTCCCTTGGGTGTTTGGGAACCAAAAACCCAGCTCTCCTCTTTCCTTTTGCTGAAAATCGGGTTTTAAACAGAAATTCCCGATCACGCGGCCAGGCCACACGATCGTGTGGCTTTCCCAGCTGCCCGTGTGAAGGCTCGGTGATTTCCACACGGCCACGACCCACACGGCCGTGTGGAGTTCCAGGATGCCCGTGTGGCTTACCCAGCCTCTGTTTAATGCTTCATTTCTCCCTCGTCCGGACTCCGAATCAGTCGCCGTTTGATCCCAGACGCTCGTAGTCTCGTCCTCTTTCTTTTCATGACAAAATTCCATGATTATTTTTCCATAATATGAGGTAGAAGTCCATTATTCCTCAAGTCATGCTCGTGTTTCTTCTCCCGAATTGCCAAATGATCTCCGATTGACTTGAAACTTGCGCCTATGCTTCAATTTACATGCTAGGACCTGAAATGTGACAAAGGAACACAACCTAGCGTAAAATAGGCCAAAGAAAGCAAAAACTCAAGCCAAAATGATCAAGAAACGAGGGTGCAAACATGTGCAAATCCGATGTTATCACCCACAATCCTTTTCCCATTGAAAATACTCGTGAAATGAATGATATGGAGTCATAATGTAATGAATCTCCTCCTCACCAAACCTCAAAGTGATACTATTGCTACTCACATTGATGATGGTTCTTGCACTGGCCAAGAATGGTCTTCCAAGAATGATAGGTGCATCATTACATCCTTCCATTTCCATTATCACGAGTCCATGGGTAGATGAAATGAGCACACTTAACCAAGAAGTTCTCAACCACACCCTTAGGCGTTGCCCTGACTGATTATTTAATTGTACCTTCATATTCGTCGGTGTAAGGGGACCAAGAACAAGCTCATAATAAAACCTTTGTTGGTATGATGTTGATGCTTGACCTCAAATCTGTCAAGGGATTCCAGTAGGTTTTATCACCAAAAGTACATGGGTTTGTGAAAACTTCCGGATCTCTCATCTTTGTAGGAAGTCCTCTGCAAGCAATCGTGGTTGAAGAAAACCTATTACACACTCCCACCATAGGCCTAGTATAATCATACGATGGTGTAGTATAGTGAAAATATATTTACAATTATCGACCCAGGCGGTTCATCTACCTTTACTTCAGTAAACCACAAATTATCTAGCGATCAGAACGTTGTTTAAAACTATCAAGCTAAGCAAACAAACTACTGAAATGATGGTGAATTCAAGATGAGAAGGCTCCACTCGGATAATATTCCCTATAGTCCCGTTTTGAGATGAGATGGTGACACTCTAGTTCGATTGGAAAGTTCGATAAACCATTAGTCCTAACCCGCCTAACTGATCTAATCGGAGGGGCGTACCACACTACCGCAAAAGACGAATAGGGCTACTAAATCCACTCCCTCGTCTATTGACCCGGAACAACATAAAGGTACCAATCACCGTAACTCATGGCTCTCTGTGATTATTGAATACCGACCCAAATTGCTATAAGGAGCTTTCTCTCTTAGGTCAATTTTTCCCAAAATTGATGGAATCAATGAAAGACACTAAAGTTTCATGATTAATTCACAATCCATATATAATTAAACATGTCCATCATCACATAGAGTTCACAACCATCAATATACAACATCCTAGACTAGAGTTTACATTATCAAATGAAAATAGAAACTACTCCATAACTCGAGAAAGAACAACAACTAGAGAAGAGGAAAAACCATGGGAACTTGATTCTGCTTCTTCTTCCCAGTTCCTTAGATTGATCCTCAGAGATCAAGTTCAATAAGAATATGTTGTGTTCAATAAGAATATGTTTTCTAATATGTGTACTCATTTTGAATACAAGTTGTGAAAATTACGAATACAGAAATCACACATACGAAATATGTTTTTTGTTCAATACAAATATGTTATTTGTTTAATACAAATATGATTTTTGTTCAACTAGAATATAGATATACAATTAGTATCTGTGAGTTAAAATTTGTTAGTTGCTTTTTGGGTTGTTTTCACTTATTAATTATTTTTTCAGTCTCTGAGCCCCATATTCCACTACCTATATTTTCCTAACATATTCCACTACCTATATTTTCCTAACAGATCTCAACCTTTAATTTAGTGGGCTATTTTTATGAGCCCTTGAATGGACGTGGAGAACCATCCTCCAAATAGTAATTGGTGAACTATATCCAAACATCATCTAATCGTTACTCCTTATCATCCTCACTCTATAAGTGCGAGAAATAACATCTCAGTCTCTATCAACCCGTCAATCAAAACAAGGACAAAGTTTATTTTGTTTAGAATACCACTATCCAATCCCTTCGTTCATTTTCTTATCCCATCTAACCACACAAGTTCGTACCAGTGGAGTTCATCCATCCACTGATGCTTTTTGTCATTTACCATTGGTTCACTGCACTAGGCAAGAAGTGTACATATAACATATGTTGTCAATTAGGGGATCTGAGCAACTGTTTTGCCATTTACCATTTCCCCCTCTATTGCCTCTTAGAAAGTTCACACTATCACAATTACACACATCAAACAACAATAGAAAAGAAAGCAGCTTAAGATATACAAATAAGTACACCAACTATTACTGAAAGAATGGTGGTTCCTTGTCCCTTGATCATTTTTTGCTACTTTCTCTGTCCAATACTTGTAAGGATTATCGTACGATAACCAGCTCCTAAGCGATCTGAGAGAGCTTCCCATCATCTGCTGCAGAAGCTGAGCTTGAAGTTTGAATCTTTATTAAGCTTGATACATGCCTGGCAACCCAGATAGAGCCCGCTTCAGTGCAACAGAAGCTATGGGAAAGGCCTTCCCTTTCTATCATTAAGGCCATGTCAGGGACCTGCTTTGCAATCTGCAGACCGGGAATCGAACAAAAAGTCATTTCAAAACCGAAAGGCTTCCAGTAAAGATGATACAAACTTTGAGATGCAATTTAATTGGCATTATTATTAGCATGTCAGAATGCTAACCTCCTCATAGACTTGCAAAGGCCCCCAGTGGTCATCATCACCAAACAGGAATGTCATTTTACGTTGATTCTTTTTCATGAACTCCCAGTCTGGTGCATGTGAAAACTAACATAACCAAAACCCATGTTTATTTACAGGAATTAGTTCTCAAGATTCATCCTCAAAAAGAAGGAAGCATTTCTCACCTCCTTGAACTCTGTCATTGCCATGTAAAGCATGTTCCTGAACAAATGGTACTGTGAAACAAACCATCTCAAAAGGATTAGAACTTCTTTAGTCCAAGAATTAATTAACAAGCACACCACGAAGATGGATGTCAAATTATAGTGTGAGAACCTTTCCAGAAAGAATGGAGTCTTTTGATATATAATATGGAGAGAGAGAGAGAGAGAGAGAGAGAGAGAGAGAGAGAGAGAGAAGTAAGGTAGAAAATTCACCTTCAGCAAATGACCACGAGCAGTCTCGACAGCTGAAGTAGACCACGAACTGTTACCAATATATTGTACCACTATGTACTGGGAAAGCCACTTAGGCAGCAGTCCAATTGATGCTACCATCAAACTCATCAGGCAACTCAGGATGGATGATCTGAAAATTCAATTCATCTCTATTATTCAGTAATAATAGTTTGTTTGGAGGCTCCTGGATATGGTAACAAGTGCTGAAATGTAGAGAAGCAGTTTATCCCTTTATCTCTAGAGCTGGAAATTCACTAACGTGGCAAGGGGAAGTTATGGAGAGGTTTTTAATCAAGAGGGTCTGGAACTCTATAAGAAATCCTGGTTCTCGAGTACCTTCAATTGTCTGGAATAAGTGTATGATACCAAGACACAGTTCTATACTCTGGCTACCAATGCACAGGAGACTCGCTATGCAGGATAAATTGCTCTCATGGGGCAAGCCGATCTCTGGATTGTGTCTCCTCTGTCCTGGTGGAATGGAATGTCAAGATCACCTAATTGTGGACTGTATCAAATTTATCATCTGCAGTAGTGTAAAGAAGCATGGCCCTCCTGACCAGGTAACTACTGGGGATGACATGGTGAATTGGTGTGTAATGAAATGGAGTGGGAAGCAGCTAACGAAGAAGATATGTTGTCTGATTTGGGGTTTGGCTATCAGCCTAGTTTTGAGAGAGAGATGCTCTCGTATGTATGGCAGTGGAAGAGGCAAAACTCCTGCACAGTTGCTCACGGATTTGCAGGGAAGTGTTAGAACCAAGCTTCTGAGAGATTATGACCTTCAACAAAGTTTCATTTCTTTACAGTTAGAACGTATAAAAGTTGTGTAGGACTGTTATGTTTTGATTGTATACGTGGTTGTATAGAGGATAGTTGTTCCTAAGGGTTCGGCACAATGCTATCTCCTTCGATGGTTGTAATCATGAGAGGTGACGAAGGTTTTCTTTGGTTCACCCGGGCTTAATGAAAATTTGATTTAACTATAATAATAATAATAATAATAATAATAATAATAATAATAATAATAATAGTTTTAAAAGTCCCCAACTAATAGAATAATCAATGGGTATTACTCATTGCTGCTCTAAATCTACCATCAATGTAACTGCATATTCTCAAGATATAACCCGGCCTATCTATATACCATGAGCTGAAGAAAAATAAATGAGCATAAACTCAATGCAATGACGAAGCAAGCTGGATATATATATCAAACATTATTATAAAGGCGAAAAATGGAACTGATCTTACTCAAAAACAAAAATAGATATACCTCGAGACTTTTGCAATATTGGCCTGCTTCTTTGATTGAGGATTTACCATTATGAAGGGGTATAACCCTATGAAATATATCACCTGTAATGTTTACGAAAGAGACATGTCAAAACGACAGACATTATCGATTCACTGAAACTGTAAACCCAGCGTCCATCTTTACCTGATCTCCCTTTCTCTTCAACATTTCCATTGTTATGTAGGCACCAATAGAGTGTCCAACCTTCATAAAGGAATTTTATAAGTTAGCAGGGATTTCCATTCCCAAAATACAATACCATTGAAAAGTAAGGCACGATCTTGAAAATCAGAGGTAAAGCAGTAACCTATGCCCAGCGGTCAAAGAAAAAAATAGGGTGACAAAACTGGCAACTTGAGGATAAGAGAGACACTTCCTGAACAAACACATGTGCTTTTATTATACGTAAAAGCCAATGTCATGAGAGTACATTTTCAGTTATATGTACTATATCTCATCAAGATCTATATAAATCAAAGCTTCCTAGATGGTTGACACATAGAGATTAATCCAGTTGATCCCTGATAACAAATAGTTAAAGTTCTTGTATTTAACCAGGACTCAGTACAACTGCATCACCTAGTTTAATCTGTTCCTGAAGAGTGCATTATACATTGGTGCAAACACAAATGCAACAGAAAATTTATCCCTGAATTCATTTAACGCCAATCAATCATTAACCAAAAAGACTTTATACCTAAAGATCAAGGAACAGAAATAAGAAAAGGAAAACAACCCTACCAAAACAATGGGAACTTTAGTTTCTTGCAGTTCCTGGCTAAGGAAGTCCACCTACGAAGGGGAAACAGAACTCAAGATCAGATGTCAATCGTGAAAATGTGGGGTTACCGGTATAGCAGGGGAAAAGAAGTTCAGTGAGCAGGAGATAATATGACACTCAGAAATACAACAGTTCTTTTTCAGAAGAGCAAACGAAACTTGAGAAGAAAGTTTCTCTTGCTACAAAATAAAGAGCCCTGAGGTCCGACACTCATCTGAATTAATTAGGTGTCACGGAACTATATATTATGTACATAATTCAACTTGATTGTTCTGTGAAATGAAGCATATAGATGAATACCTTATGATTAATTTGCTGCTGTAAGGAGAACAACTGCCCCTGCTCCCAGTTCTGAAAATACATAGAAACTTCAGAGCCTGTCGCCATAATACCACACAGGGAACATACCAAAAACCAATTGTCTGGTATCATTGAGCAGGATGTCCAGTCAATTAATGAAGAAATTAAAGGCCAACTCTAATTTTATGCTCCTGTGGGTACAACAGAAACCGATCTGTGAACTATAAGCACTTGCACTAGCCAACATCTTGAATCTTGGTTGGCAACAAATACTGGAAGTGAACATTTCCATGCCAAGGAAAGCAAACACTGTATATATGGTTACGCACCTTTTTTGTATGAGCAATGTGCCCAATTGCTGTTCGCAAAGAAAAAAAAAGGAACATTCAATTAGATTCAACCAGCATAACAAAACTCAAACTAGCATAAGGTAAAACGAAGATGAGCATTGCCTGTAATAGATGCAGTCCCTCCGAGTGAACCATACAGAGATTCCACGAATTCCTTGTAAAATGAAACAACACCTGTTGTAAACAGGCAAAACCCATAATCCTAATTCTGCTCAAGTCCACACTGAGACTGGGTATTAACAACGCAGCAAAACAGTCACCAGTAACCATAAAACATTACCTGGATTTCCAGGGACAAAGAGGACATGCACTGTTGGGTTATCAGCTTGAATCTCTAGCAACTCAGTCGTGTAACTGGACAGTGAAAGATCAGTACAAGTACTAAATAAGGAACCGAAATAACTGGCTACAGAAGCGCAATAGCATCTTGTACCATGTCGAAGTTACCTGGAAACCTTGCACACCCGGAAATTTGCCAACTTGACAACATTCGGGTCCAAATACTCACTACCCATTTCCGAATTCGTAAAATTTGATCTGCCCAATTCCCTGAAAGATCCAAAAGCCCCTATTCCTCAGAGTAAAATTTTCCCAAACTGCAGCTGAGGAACAAAAAATCAATTGGAGAAGGACAAAACGAAGAAGCATTCAAGCAATTAAGTCCAACGCGAGTTGTTGTTAGGCGATGGGGAATGCGTGAACTTAGATTGTCAACAATCCCGGCGCAACAACACAAATCGAGCTTTTGGAAAACTGAAAACATTATCAAACAGTGTGAAGAAAGAGTACACAGTGACGGAAACCCATCAATTAAAGAAAGAAAAGTAATCCAAAATAGAAACCTTTTAGCCAATTTAACAAAAGGGATCAGTCGTAGCCTCGTAGGAGTACCTGAAAGTGGGAGAAGAATGGAGGCAACGTGGGACGATGGCGGTGGGTGAAGCAAGAAAACGAACCACCATTACTTTGTTTCAGCTATAGTTGTATTATTGTTCCTTGATTTGCATGAGGGATTGGTCGTTGGCAGTGAAGTTATAATTTAAGTTTTGAAAAACTGATTGACAGATGGAGCTCTGGGTATCTGGATATTAGAGTGTGTTTTTGGAGTATATTCCTTTAGAAAATTTGGAAGCCGTAAACCGCAGCCTGGTACAGCTTTTTGGTATGATTCTGGATTTTTTTTCTTTTACAAAGGTTTTCAATTTTCCCCACCAGCAGATGGGAATTTCTTGTTAGCATGACTCACCATCTCCATCCAGTTAACGTCCGGGAAGGAAAAGGTTTCTTTTAACCGTGGTACCCAGGTTGGAATGGGGTTAATTCCCTAAATATTGCTTTTTTTTTATTTACCATTAATAAAGTGGTTTAAAAACTATTTACAAGAATATTATGTTTTGAAGGGGGAAGGCAGCAACGGCGCTCGAGACTCAGAATATTGACTTTTAAAGGGGGAAAGCAGCGTGACGGTGCCTGAGACTCGGGCGCCCTTCCTCGCCCCTCCCTCTCGCCAGAACCACACACCCCTGACCCCCCTCCCTCCCTCCTTCTTCGCCTCCTCCAACCCAGCGCCGAAGCCAAAGGAAAGAGCGGCGACGCCGAGAAGAAGAGGGCACCGCCTTAGTCTCAGGCGGCCGCGCTCAAAGCCAGACGAAGAGGCCAAACCCAGAGCGCCGTCGCAGATCCACTTCTCCCCGCTGTGTCCGACAACGACGAGCAGCAGGCGCTCGGCAGAGGACGAGGCAGAGGGCGGCGAGGGCGTCGCGGCGGCGGTGGCGAACGCTACATAAATAAGTGTGTGTGGCGGTGGCCGGTTTCAGCCGCCGGCGACAAAAAAAAAAATTGTCCTAATTTTTTTTCCAGTTTCTAGGCTTATGGGTCCTTGTTCGATGAGACCACCACCTGCGACAATCGATACAGCTCCGGTGGATCCGGAACTTCTTTGGGGGCATGGTCACCCTCGTATTGACGCAGTTTGGGCAAACGAGGTAAGTTTTCAAACTATTTCTATAGTTTTTTATTAGCTGAATAATATAATAGAATTAAATTAAATAAATTACAAATAGAGTTAAATTAAATTACGAATAGAATTAGATTAAATTACGAGTAGTATTATAATAAGTTTAGTTTAGATATATAAATATAAATGTTAGGTGAATTGAATTAATATAAGTTTTGTGCATTAATTATAGGCTGGTGATCGATCTTACCACATTCGTCATACGGGCAATTTAGTACGATACCATCCACTTTACATGCCGTATCTCGCCGATGCGGGGTTGTCTAGTGTTCTGCCACTAGCCCCTCTTACCGGTGATCCGAGTTTGATTACTGCGCTCGTAGAGCGTTGGCGACCCGAGACATCCACCTTCCACAAGCCGTTCGATGAGGTGACGATCACCCTAGAGGACGTTGCGACACTGACCGGTCTAGGTAGACATACCAGACGAGGACTGGTCGGCTATGTGTCTTCGACTGTTAGGACGGGCTCCTACTGATCTTGGTGGCGGCGTCATCCGGATTGCTTGGCTCAGGGAGACTTTCGATGAGCTACTGCTTTCTGCATCACCCCAGACGACAGAGCAGTTTGCAAGAGCGTATGCTCTGTCTCTGATGGGAGGTGTCTTGTTCTCCGATCGGTCTGGAGGTTCAGTTCACCTGTAGTACCTACTTTTGGTGGAGGATTGGCGCAGAGCGGGGAGGTTTGCTTGGGGAGCAGCTGTGCTATCCTACTTGTATCGTGAGATGGGTAGATCGGCGCTGCACATGACGACATCTTCTTCACTGGGTGGTGACTTTGGTGGATGGTTCACCTTGATGATGATCTGGACGTGGGAGCGGTTTCCTCATACATCACTACTACATGCGGAGACGAGTGCGCAGATTACTCAGGACGCAGTGCCACGTGGCCTTCGATGGCTTCCGGCCCACACCCGTCAGCATGGAGATCAGTTTCTACCTATACAATCTATAACATTTCGTTTTATAGAATAGTTTTAATTGATTTGTTATAGATTTAGGAGTAATTATGTGACCAATCCTTGTGTGCAGTGGCGTCCATACTTTCATAGAGGTCAGGACTACAACGGTACTATGATCCAGTCCGACACGTTTCGAGCAGTAGTTCCGCTGATCTGCTTCTCATCGCAGATGTGGCATCATCCAGATCGCGTGCTCGGACAGTTTGGGATGATTCAGGACCGGCCTCATCCTCCACATTCCGCGGCTGAGATTAGGTTTTTTCTTCGTCAGGGACAGCATGGGCCATCACGTGGCCAGCAGTTCATACAGGCAGCCAGCGAGTCGATTGAGTTGTGGAACCGACGACATGAGTTCATCGCGCGAACGAGCTACAGTGACGTACCTTTAGCTTACCACTCGGAGCATCGAGAGTGGTATAGAGATATCACTAGACGTTCAGGCACAGGGAGAGTTGCTGCACTAAACGCAGCAGTGAGTTTTTTATTAATTAAAATTTGCGTTTTAATTGTTTTTAGATGTGTAGAATTTCTGATATTTTATATTTAATTTGCAGTACGACTGCATGGAGTTCGTTGAGTAGGGTTTACGTGATGGGATGAGAGCAGGAGGGTTGTCCTATGACCAAATGGCGGAGTATGCTGACCAGTTGACATCAGGGGTTACAGCTTTAGGTTTTAGTGATCGTCGACATCCTGATACAGAGCTGATACAGCGGTACCTTGATGAGCGCAGCTTAGCCATCTGGCCAGAGCGTAGGGCTTAGCCAGGAGGAGGAGACAACGACGTGAGCAGCGTGACGTACCTCAAGGAGTGAGGTACTTAGATCGTCAGCTAGTCAGACCTACTTCGACCTTCACCTTCGACCAGCCTTCTCAGCCACCGTTTCAGCCGGGCGCTTTTACCGGATTTCAGGCAGGCACCAGTTCTAGCCCTTAGTTTCAGCCACAGGAGGATAGCTTTCACACACCGCATCATGCTACAATGGGAGGCGGACACATGGGATCAGGTAGTGCAGACGTGCCACATTTGGACGTCGATGAGTGGGAGCGTCTAGGTGAGGAGGTTCAGTCTTAGGCGGCCTTCCAGACATCTCAGTGGGCATATGAGCAGCAGCGACGAGAGGGTGCACCAGATGAGCAGGTTCAGTCTCAGGTGGATGATATGTTCGGCACACAGGATCAGGATGATGGGGCGGAGAGAGATGATCAGTTGCCTCCACGAGACATGAGGCCAGCAAGGTGTGGTACTGGCGGCCATCTAGTGGCAGAGCGCGGTGGTCGTCGTGGTGGTCGGCGTGGTGGTCGTAGTGGTCGTTAGTGTATTTATGTACTTCTTTGAGATATTTATTATTATTATGTTCTTTGTGACTATGTATTATTATTATTATGTACTTACTTAGACTATTTATTATTATGTACTTATTTGGGACTATTTTTAATTTCATGCGGACTAATTCATGTTAGTGCTATTGTGCACCACTTCTAATTTCTGCTCCCGTCTCCAACCTCATCTTATCGAATTTCTCCACCAATCGCCAATAGGTATGTTGCACAAGAGAAGCTATAGGAAGTGCACGAATACCTTTGAAAACACCATTGATGCTTTCTGCCATGTTGGATGTCAGGATAGACCAACGACGCCCACCATTGTAGTTATCATGTGCTAAACTCCAACGAATCTGATGTTGGTCCACCCAGTTATCACATGAAATATTTCTATCAGTGGCCACCTTCTTAAATTGCTCAACTTGACGATCGAACTTCTCCAAGCGTTTTTCTCCGGCTAACAAAATAAACAACCACACGAGTTAGATAAATTCATGACAAAATTAAATGAAATAAATAACAAAATTAAATGAAGAAGGCTTACCGACTCGAAATAGTTGCTTATACATAATTCTCCTTTTAGTCTTCCTTTGCAAATTGCTTGCATAGTGTCGCATGCACCACTTCCACTCCCAACCTCTTCTGATGTTATTCATGGCTTCATAGAGTCCTGCATGTCTATCTGAGATGATGCAGACATCATTTCGATCAGTCAAACCCTGAACGTGACTTATGAACCATGGCCAACTATCAGTATTCTCACTCTCCGCTATGGCAAATGCAATTGGAAAAATCTTCTTCCGACCATCAAATTAGCTCGCCATGAGTAGCACTCCTTTATACTTCCCAGTAAGAAATGTTCCATCAACAACCATGACGCCTGGACAATTCTTGAATCCTTCTATACAAGGTCCATAAGCCCAAAATACTCGTTGAAATATCGAATGACCTGGTTGAGTCGAAGGAACTCTTACCCAATCAATCACCGATGTTGGCATTTTTCTTATGACCACCCGCAAGAATGTTTGCAAAAAATCGTAGAATTCTTCCCGATTTCCATGCAACTTCTCCAATGCTCTTTGTTTCCCATACCAAGCCTTCTTGTAAGTAACTTGCATATTAAACTTATCTTTCAACTCGACCTGCACAGTTAGTACACTCAAATTTGGTTGAGCACGTACCAAGTGTTTCACGGACTCAGATATAATGTCGACATCAAGATTGGCGATGATCCGTCGGTTGAGTCGTACTGCTACAAGTATGCACCAACTCGGCCTTTCTCACGCTCCAATCGCCTCCCACATCTCGATATCCAAACCGCACCATCCAAGGGCATTTGTCCTCCTTGTGCATCAAACATCCGATCTTCCAGATTGAAGGTGACGACTCCACCACGTTATACTGAAAGTTGCGTTGTAGTGCATAGTGTTTAATAACCACCTGTGCAGCTTGTTTCGAGTGAAATATTTGCACCTTGTAGAATTCTCCATCAAAATCACCAACAATAGACCCTGGAATTACGCCATATGAATCAGCATATGATAATTCCTCGTCCTCTTTATTACCCTGCAAGTAAAAATATGGAGGATAATTAGGTTGTTCTCCTTCCTCCCCGTCGTCCTCCTCCTCATCATCATCGTCTTCCTCCTCTCCGTCATCACCGTCATCATAGTCATGATCGGATGGCATGCTCCATATGTCATCTTCTTCCTCTCCACCCCGATCCTCACTTAGCTCAGCATGTAGGCTATCATAAAATTCCAAAGCACATTTAAGCTATCATCATCGACAATAGGCATTGCATAATGAAATAAAACACCATTCTGCCATTCTGGAAGACAGTAAGTGAAACATGTAATCATAACACTATCTTGTACTGTTTTGTCTCTACGCCGTATTCTCCGAATTAGATTATCACAAAGTTTCTGATAGTTCACCCTGGATG